TTTTAATGATACAATCTCTTTAGATCAAAATATAAGACATTGATAACTAAGTCATGGTTATCAAAAAATGTTAGTTAAAATTTTAATTTCATAAAAATATTATATCTTTTCAATTTTACCCTTATTAAATATCTTACATAAGTGCTTTGATAATGATAATTAAAATTACAATGCATCATTTTTTTTAAAAAAAGAGTAATAAATGAAGAAGGGATATAGTTGAAAAAATAAGAGTAAATGTGCAAATTTAGCCATTTACTATTTTTTTTATGAGCATCTGATAGTCTAAACTATCAAATGATGCGAAATAAATTATCAATTTTTAAAAATAGAGCATCCAATAATTCACTATTAACTTCACCTAATGGAATTTATGTGGGGGTCATAATAACATGTGGTATTCCACAAGCACTCCATATCAGCATGTATAAAAATGTAAATTTAGTTGCGAACTATTCTTCAAGGGACATTGGTAGCCTCTATATAAAAAATGGACCATTCAATTTTAATGAACACCGTTTATTTTATGACTCATGAGACCACAATGTGTCAATATCTTCAATTTTCTTGCCTTTATTCTTAACCTCTTGAATGAGTTCTTATCTACAGATATTTACAAAGATGATACCAACAAAGTAAAATAAATAATTCATGGTTAAATCAAGTTAGAATTAAGCTTCTTTCGTGCATAGTAAAATCAAGCTTTTACTTCATTGGTATCATCCTCGTGAATGTCTTCCAATAAAAACTCTTTCAGCCTCTTCTTCTCGAATTGACATTAAGAACAAAGACAAGAAGATTGGAGAGTTTGAAGTATTGTGGGCCCTATAAATATGAAAATAAATAATGTTTGGTCAAAATTGAGGGAAAGGCATTGGATAGTCCCTTTTTTAATAACAAAGACTACCCGGTGCTCCTTGAAAAATAGTTTGTAGCTAAATTTACACCTTATGCATGCTAATGTGGAGTGCTTGTAGAATGCCACGTGTTATTGTGGGTCCCATATAACGTTCGCTAGGTGAAGTTAACAGCGAGTTACTGAATACTCCGTTTTTTAAAGTTGATGATTTATCTTACATCACCTGATAGTTTAGGCTACCGGTTGCCCTTAAAAAAATAGTTCATAACCAAATTTGCTACTTTATCCAAAGAAGTAATTATAAAAGTTACCTAATTTTTTATATTTTAAGTCAAATAAGACTTTTAGAAGAATATGTTTTATATTGTGGCCAAAGGGAGTGACTATACATGGGTGGATATTCTAAGTCTTGACGTGATCCACAAGCCAGTTGAATTATTAATTAACAACAGGTTGACAACTTTGTGAAATTTAATCATAAAATTCCAATCAAAATCTCGTAATATTTGAACCATAAGCAGTAAGTACTAGATTCAAGCCATGCATGCATGTAGAACCTTAACATAGTAAAATATAGTGCATGTACCAAATTCTGACCAATGAATCCAACATTGTTAATTACTTAATTCCAACCACGTGCCTATAACTGGAATATTAGTAGGTAGAGCAAATCCGTAAAAGGGTGTGTTGTGATTTGTAAGCATATAAAAGGTATGAGAAATTAAGTACTTGATTATTTACTAGGGGCAACGAATAAAAAGAATGCATGCATTTGCCAGCTTAATTAATTTGAGTCTACGTCCAATTAATGTGGACCAACCTTAATTCTATCATTTGCCAGCTCTTTACATAAAGGCATTTTACAAATAATAACAATAATGAAGTATTTATTATGATTTTTTTTTTCTAAAACTGCCCTACATATATAAATCCACTGTATATGCAAATTTTCCTCTCTTTTTTCTCTCTTAAATGTTGTGATATCATTGACGGTGATTAGTGTTAAATTTTAATTAAGAGTAGTTTTAGAATGTTAATAATAATTTTAATAAAAAAGTCAAAAATTTAATTAATTTCAACCACCCTTGTCAAATGATATTATTCAATTGTAATTAGATAAAACTCACTTTAATTATTATTACAAGGCACATTTTAAAAGAAACTGAAGATCATCTATTAACATAAATTTTTTCAGATACAATTAATAATTTAATTACTTTTTTTTAATTTTACTAAAGTGATTAGAGATGTCTTATAATAAAGACAGTAGGGAGTATGCAAAATATAAAAGATTAGATTAATATATATATATATATATATATATATATGTTGTGGTTGTGGTATGGGTCTTCCTTCAAAATTGTCTAAATGTAGGAGCATTTGGGGCAGCTTGACTTTGTAAAACGAGATGGCCCCCATGGATACACTTGAAATTCACATATTTTTCTTCAACGTTGTCTTCGAATGGCATATAGTAACAACCCGAGAATAATTCAAAAGCATGCCACGCAAGCAGACAAAAAAAGAGCACGTGGTATTGACTTTCCTATGACCAAAAGCCTTATTATTTCTGTCACTTTGTCTTGTCGGCTCCCGTTCAACACGTTTAATTTTATAAAAACATTCACATCATCATCATCCATCTCTAACGAGATCTTCAGTCTTCCTTATAGTTACTTTCTCTTTCTCTCTTTTGCTCATTTAAGTTACTTCAAGAATATAAAATCTACCGTTTCTTTTTATCTTGTCTTGATTTTATATATAGAAATCTAAACTTCCGTTTTAGGAAATTTTCGAAGGTTTTCACATTTCAATTTCATGTTCAGCTTTCCTTTTATTTTCTTGGTGCAGGCCAAAGGTTTTGTTTGTTAATTTATTAATTTGATATACGAGTCATGAGTGAAAATTAAAGAGCCAAGCCCTTAGATTATGACCGTTATTGTTGATAGTGCTTGCACTATTGTTGTTTAATTAATCAAGCTTATAGTCAGTGTACGGCTCTGCAGGCCACTCAAGATTAGTGTGAATTCATATATTTGCTCTACGCTATGATTGTTTTATTGAATATCGTATTGAGAAATCCCTGCCCGTATGTTGAATATCAACCATAGATTTGCTTGCCAGGAAACAAATACGTGGATTATGTTGGCCCAAAAAAGTAATTAATATTGTTAAATGTAGGTGATGAAGAGTAGAGTGCGTCATGTTTTAATTCAAAACTTTAATATTTAAATTTCTAAAAAATTTTATTTTATTATATATTACTTATTGAGTCTCATTATTATCTGAGTCGAAAATTTCCCCTTTAAGTCTAGCTACTCATACTTGAATGTTAAGTTGTTGGAATGGGTTAAATGATTTTCATTTTTTGCATATGCTTGTGGGTTTTGGTGGGTGACGGTGGGATTTAATCTAGTCTTGTTGAGTAGTCGTTGTTGGTATTATAGTGGCAATTTCTTGTTTCACAATTTATGGTTTGATGTTGGTGCACGTGGAACTTATGGGTAATTCTAACATTTTGGAGCAGTTTGAGGTTATACTGAATCGAATATTTTTAGTTTGATTAACGATTTTATTGTTATCCTTAGATTACTCAAAATGTCCTTGGATTAATGATTGCTTCCTCTGGACCACAATACATGATATTTTCCAAAAATTTTGCTTAGTAAAATATATGGCATTATTTAGTTTTTATAATTGTTTTTCTAAATATACTTCTGCTTCATTTATTAATTTTTTTTAAAATGATACATTAGAATCATTATTGAGTTATTTATTTAGGATATTTGATGAGGGTATAATTGAAAAAATATACTACTTTCGTTTTAAATTATAAGGCACTTTTAAATGAGTTTTTTTTGCATCAAAAAATAAAACGCTTTGAGTAGATTAAGATTTTATTAAATACATCAATTTTAATATTATCCTTTCTCTCTCTATAATTAGTTTCCATCCATTCTCTTTTCAATATATTAAATGACGAGTATTTTTGAAAATTTATATTTTTATTTTGGAAAGATAAGAATATTAAGTATATTTAATAAAGTTTATTAATATATGACATTTTGTCTAAAAATATTTTATAATTTGAGATGAAAGAAGTATAATTTTTTAAGAAATTAGGGTTTCACCTATTTTTTTTAGAATCGTAAAATAATTACCAATGCCCTGTATTGTAGTTTAGAAGGAATATGATGTTAGAAGATTCTGTGCTTCAACTCGAGTGTCATATTTTAAATCATAGCCATTTGGACTTGAACATGCCGATTTTTATTATTTAAAAAAGATGACTCATATACTTATGATATTTTATACTTAATATATTTTTTATTTAATAAAATTATAACAAGTGAGTTTAATGTATTGTTAACATTAATAATAGGGGTATTAACAAAAGTTGGTACAAGTTGTAGAAACTGAAAGATCTACCCATTATTCTCAACACCTTGAGAGAGAGATATTTGCATTTGGCGAAACTTACACCTTTTGTTTATCAAAAAAACACTAATAATAAGATGTTATTTTATAATAAATAATGAATAAAAAATTCACACATTGATTAGATCAAAAACAAACATCTTAAATATATAATACTAAATACCTAAATTTTGCTCTTATTGAATCATTCTGATTAGATTAGATTCAAGCATTCTCAAATTTAATTGGGAGTAGCTCTCCTATAAATATTTTATACATTCATAAAAATTAGAATTCGAAATCTTATACTTAAGTGCTTATATAGTCTCTGTTTTTTTTTTTTGTTTATAAATCATCTGGTATCATGAGATATCTTGAGTTTATTGTTCATCTCAGACTAAGCCGGAGCTCCCGCGAGGAGGTCTTACGGTGGTAGTAAGATATCAATGAGACGATCTCTTTGAGGCTATATTAATTATCGCCTCTGTTTCGAATCTTTATTTTAAAAAATGTTAGTAGTAGCCCTTGCCAACTCTTTTGTTGCAGCCAACACTGGTTGGTGTCCTTATTGCTTTTTTTTTTATCCTAAGTGATTACTCTTGGCCCAAATAGGATGATAGAGCCCACCCTCAGCCCAAATGTGAATTTTGTTTTAAAAAAGGTCTCGATCTGGTCCAACAACCCACGCTGCCAGCCCCGTCTTCTATGCCTCACTCTCACTCAATCTCTCTCTCTCCCCCCCCCCCCCCCCCTCCCTCGTCTTAACCCCTTCTTTCTGCGTTCTCGATCTCCAATCGGCAAGCTTCTTGTTCGACAGGTAAGTTTCCTTATTCATCTCTCTCTCCCTCTCTCTCTAGGTGGAACTCACTTGATTTTTCTCCTTTATTCCAATGACACTAATCTGAATCTGGCGCTTCCGATTTGAATTTCTGTTGCATTGCTTGCTACAATATAACTGTAAAATTTGATTCATTCATTGACTATATGTTCGGACGCATTCTCTGCCCTCCAGTTTCACTTCCTAGTTCAATAGTTAATCATATTGTAGTTTTTAGTTACTCTTAGTGAAGATCAAACCTCATTCGAATCCTAACTTCGATCCTGTTTGGCTTCCGAGAAAATTCTGGTAACTCGTCTTTGTTGTTGTCTGGATTTGATCTTCAGGCGAAACTATGTCGGGCCAAAACCAACGTCTTAATGTAGTGCCCACTGTGACAATGCTTGGAGTCATGAAGGCCAGACTCGTGGGAGCTACGCGAGGCCACGCTCTTCTCAAGAAGAAGAGCGACGCGTTGACGGTACAATTCCGTCAGATCCTGAAAAAGATAGTGTCCACCAAGGAATCAATGGGCGAGATCATGAAGGGCTCTTCTTTTGCTTTAACAGAAGCCAAGTACGTTGCTGGTGATAATATCAAGCACGTTGTGCTCGAGAATGTTCGAGAAGCTTCCCTCAAGGTTCGCTCTCGACAAGAGAATGTAGCTGGTGTTAAACTCCCCAGATTTGAATACACAAACGATGGCGAGACCACTAGGAATGATCTTACAGGTTTGGCAAAAGGTGGCCAGCAAGTTCAGAGTTGTCGTGCTGCTTATATAAAAGCCATTGAAGTTCTTGTTGAGCTTGCTTCACTTCAGACCTCGTTCTTGACGCTTGATGAGGCAATCAAGACCACAAATCGAAGAGTGAATGCGCTTGAGAATGTGGTGAAGCCAAGAATAGAGAATACCATTAGTTACATTAAGGGAGAGTTGGATGAATTGGAAAGAGAGGATTTCTTTAGGTTGAAGAAGATACAGGGTTATAAGAAGAGAGAGATAGAGAAGCAGATGGCTTCAGCTAGGAATTTTGCTGAGGAACAGTTTGCTGAGAAGCTGGCTTTGCACAGAGGAATTTCTTTGAATTCAGCTCACAATTTGTTGTCTGCAACAACAGCCAGAGATGAGGACATCATTTTCTGAATATACAGAGGTTGCATTCCCCCCCGCCCCTTTATTTATCAATATTCTCCCCCCCCCCCCCCCGGGGTTGCCTTATCTCATTGTATTGATGCCTTTTCCAGTGGGTCAGAGTTATTTACAATTCTTTAGGTTGCAGTGTTCTTTACTTTGAATAAAGGCGTTCAGCATGTGATTTATTCATTCAGGTATTATTTATAACCATTATCTTTTCGCATTTGAATTCAATTTTGAGGCTGTTTTGAGGCTATGCGAGAATCATCGCATTGAAACTTGGAAGTATGGTTTTTATCATCTCTTTCTATCCAAATTGTTGCTGGAAATAGTTGTAATCTTTCTTTAAAATATGATTTTGCCAATAGATTTTATCACAAGGTTCTGCACTAGGTTAGTTTGGGTCTCAAAATCAGTCTCCAGTCTTTGAAGATGAGGCAATTTGTGGTCCCAGCCTCATAGCCTCATAGTTACACTATTTTAAAGTTCTCATGCAATTATCCATCTTATTGATATCCTTAATCTTGTTTAGGACGAGACTTGCCTCTTCAAGGCATATGAACTAATTGATTTTATTCAAGCCAGCTCAAATAGGTTGAGCCCACCTAAATTCTCACCTGCACTTAGAATTGAAAGTTAAAATAGCCTTACATCGTACTATACATGGATTTAATCTCAATTTTTCTCCCGCTCCCTCTTCCAACTTTTTTATTCCGCCGGACCAATAAAATGGAAACAAGATAGGGGCTGGAAATCAATTATGAAGGGAATAAAATAAAGAAAATATCGTCTCAAAGTTTAGTTTCATCCTATCCATAGAAGCCATTTTGTGCTCTTTTAATAATCTTTGATTCAAACTAATTCGATTGGCAGCTTGTGAGCACTTTTTTGACAGACACACCTTCTATTGAGAATTTAATTGTTGCTAGATATTCAGGATTTAAATTTAAAATCTCTAGTTAAGTTAAATCAATTTCTAGCCCGTTAATCTAAACATCCGGTGCTGAAATATTTCTTTTTGACCAAAGAAATAGAGAACCCATTTCACTCCACTGTTGGAAGTTTCAATCCAACATAGCACCCTATTTACTAGAGTTAATTCAACAGGATGAAACCTACGTGATAGGACATCAAACAAATACGAGAATGCTCCAACACATATCATAATAATACTGATAAGATGCTGCAAAAGATTTATATGATTCATGCATCGGCCAATTATCAATGAGGAAAATGAATGGTGCCCTTTGAGCTATCTAAACTTTTCGAGAACTGGCAGACCCAAAATGATATTATATCATTGTTTTCCAATACCAAGCTCCCACGCCGATTTCCATGAATAAAAAATAAACGACACCAAAGGCGATAGATTTAATTCCTCTCAGAATCTTGTTGATGGAAAAACCAAGTTGAAAGAGCTATCTCAATAGGACCTAACAGTATTTAAATACCACCCAATTAATGAATATCAAATAATTGTATAAAAAAAAATTTATGAGTTGGAAGTTAATGTGAATTCCTACCGATACTTAATTTCTAGGTTTTGTTCAAGTGGAAAGATGAAATCTATTTTTGAGGACAAACTACTATATTATTTTTGAAATCACTTAAAGTCTAAAATAATTCATTATACTTTTGGCTTATAAATAGTAATATGATTTTCATTAAATCCATATTATATATTAATTAAGGTACTAAAAAAAGTAGGAAGTAGTAAAGTTTACAAATCAACCGAACCCACTCTAATTGACTTTATAAATGAACTAAACCCACTAGTTGACTCTGGTATGTTCCAAACTTTAATTAAGCCGTATTTTGCCCAATGAAAGCTAATTACTCTTCTAGAAGTTAACCCACGCTTCGTTTATAGTAAAAGAAATTTTTAACTAATTTATTAACTAATTTATACCATCAAGAAAACCGTTAATATCATTAAAAATTCTTTCCAGGCCTACCTTTATTTAATAGAGTAACTTGGTTACAATAAATATAAAAATCTCATTAATTTCAAATATGCATTAAGACAGTATTTGGATTGATATATTTAAATTTAAATATTAAATTTAAAATCTCACATTTTAAATTATTGCATTTAAAATTATTAGTTTAGATAGTGTAAAAAATTTTAAAGTAAAAAAGAGACAAGCTGAAATTTAAAATAAAAATAAAAAATTAAAAATGATAAGTTTACCTTTATTCTTCAATTGGTAAGAGATGAGAATGGCAAATGAGAAGAATGACAAGATCGATAGTGAAAACATACATGAAGAAAATGAAAGTGTTGGAATATGTGGAATTTCAAATAATTAGGCTCTATAGGAAATTTAAAATTACAAGGAAGTTATAATCAAAAATAGAATTAGAGTTGGATCAAATCCAAATCTAAAGACTTTATATATCTAAATGAAAGATTTGGTTCAAATTCAAATCCTCCTTCATCCAAGCACACCATATATGTTTAGAAAAACATCATTAATTACTCATATAAAATACTAATATGTCTTATATTTTTAAACATGAAATCTCTTAAAAATGAGCTTATAATTTTGGACAGACGGAGTCATAATATTGTGATTTTATCTCAAGTGCTTAATTAAACTTCGAAGATACCAAATCTTATTGGTCTTGTTGATTCCCAAAGATGTTATTGGTGCTCATTCTAGCAAAATTGGCTTTCCTCATCTACAAAGAAAAGCAAAAGAGGAACTCGGGGTGTTCGTAAGTTAGGTTTGGTTTGGTTTTGGGCAAAAACCGAACTAAATTGAACTAATTGATTCACTCATAATTGAGACTTGATTAATTTTTTTAAAAATTAATTTGATTTGATTTTTTTTATTTGATTAAGGTTTGGATTAAGTTTCAATGAATTTTTTTTTTACAACTTACACTTAGTATGAGCGTGTTATTTTTGCTTGTAGAGTGCATTTATATAGCCATATGTTAGTTGACAGGATTTTTTTTATTTTCCTCTAAATATTTTTAACTAATGAAAATACTAATAGCAAAGTGCTTATATATATGCATATTTAAATCATTAATTATTAAAAACTAATGCAACTACAGGCATCTTTTGAATTATATAATTTTAGTTCACTAGCACTTGATCAAAGTATGTTTATTATGCATTTATGATGACATTTGAGCGTTAATTTTTGCAAAAAAATATAAAACAAAGTTAGTTACTCTAATTTGCAAAAAAATACTAATAACAATAACTTTTATTGTCAAATATATATAATAGCATTTTTCCTAATTGAAGATAATATTTAACTAATTATAAACAAGTACCCTTAAAAAATATCATAAAAATTATAGACAATATTTAACTAATTGTAACATATTTTTAACAATCAATTTATAGATAACTAGATTTAGGAAAGAGAAAAAAATTTAGACAAATTTATGAAAAAATATAAAATAAATATAATAAGACTTGACTTGGTTTGGTTCAAGTTTCAATAAACAAAAACTTGAAACAAATCGAATCAATTAATTTTATCAAAAGAAAAATCAAACTAAATCTTATTTATAATCAATCAGTTTATGTCAGTTTAGTTTAGTGTTATTAGTTTGGATTGATTTTAAATATTCTTAAGAGAAACCATTAAACATCTATACTTTTAAATTAAATTTGATGATTTAGATTTAATAATTTTTAAAAATATAAATTTAATTAAATGGTTCAAATTTATAGTAGAAAGATAGTGAAGGAAAAAAGTAATAAAGAAAAATCCACCTCATTCTAACACGCTCAATATGCTTCTAAAATGAAAAAGATTAGAAGATTGGTTGGTTGGTGTCCCGATTTTCTATGTTTAAAATAAAAATACATCTAATATATTATTTTTATTCTATGTATTTATAAGTTAATTTCAATATATTTAACTAAAATTAAAAAATTATTAATTCTGTTTAAAAATTTAATAACATTATTTTTATTAAATATACATCCTTTAATAGCATATTTTTTCTGACTAACATTTAATGGAGAGTAAAAAAATTATGATAAAAAATTAATAACGTGAATTATAAATAGTATTACAAAAAATTATTCTCTCTCTACCTTATAAATAAGATTAAAGAGAGTATACAATTTTGGAGAAATAAGATTTATGTAAACAAGACTAAGTTTGAAAATTCGGTCCCAATACTTGCTAGCCGGGTGAAATTATAAAAATTGAAATGCACCAAGTCAAAGTTTTAAAGTATTAACTGAATAAAAAATACAGGAATTAAATGATTAGTTTTTTCAAAAAATTATGTTAGAAGAATTTTCTCCAATTAAGCTCAACAATATTCAAGTGTAATTTAAAAATATTGGATATCAGATAATTGTATTTAAAAAAAAAACTCCCTCTATTTGGCACTACATGATACTTTTTCTGAAATATCACGTTAAAAAATATAATATATTTTGGATTTTTTAAAATATAACCAATACAATTTTTTAAAAAAAATGTCCTTGACAATAATTTTTAATTAAAAAATTTATTAAATAAGAATAAATATGAAAACAATGCATAATTTTAATGTCATTAATTAACTTAATAGAGATATAAATTAATCGAAAATAAAGGGATCGGAGTCGGAAGGGCAACTTTTCTTGTGGGGATGGTCTCGTGCGTACATTTAAGAATTCACGTTATTGTCGTGTTATTCGCGCCCAATAATTTTATTAGATTACGTTTGAATGTATCGATGAATTTGGAATCGTGTGAGGCGTGAATCAGGTGGAAGAATATTTACTGTACAGCATCAGATAATCCTGTAGACTTCAAGAGCAAAGATATGTGCCTTCTTTGTTTCGGTCACATATTCCACACGATAGTCCAATTTAAAGAATTAAGTTTTACGATGTCTTGATAGATTGTAGAAATATTATATCTTTTTATATGAGCTGACCTTAATCTATTTACACGGTATTTTTATTGTGGCCTTGTATTTATAAAAAAAAAAAAGAATTAAGCTCCACTTGTTTAAAAAAACCAAAACAAAAGCAAAAAGGCTCATTGACTCTGTCTCTTAATGTTGAAGATCTTGTTAAAGTGATTTTTATAGATCTAAAACAATACCTCCCCAACTACTCTTGGCTTTTTGCTTTCGAGCTTTTTACTCTGAATTCAAAATTTTGCTCGAATTCTCTTTCATGATCAGTTAAATTTGGGATCTTTATATGTTTGGCACAATAAGAGAATTTGCTTCTGCTCAGCATGAAATCACCTCTTGATTAGGATGTTCTCAGGCTTTTAGAAGACTTCAACAGCTGTAGAATTCATAAGTGTAGTCTTGAAAATTTTGCT